GCCCTGAACACATGTGCATAAGTTGGAGCAGCGTGAGTGCAGGGCATAGTTTTAGGAGGTCCATTTGATATGCTCCCACACACACACACACACACACACACACACACACACACACACACACACACACACACACACGGGGCTGTAGGGTGATTTATTAAGCTGCTCCTGTTAATTCTTAATAATCCTGAGACTTTCACACCCCATTTACCTTGCTGCTGCTTTTGGCTGATCCACAGGCTGCATATTTGTAGGAGCACACACACACACACTCTCTCTCACACACACACACACACACTCATGCATGCACTCTTCCCTTTCAGGCCTATGCGTACACACACACACACACACACTCGCACTTGGGTTCACAGAACAAAGGGGCTCGGGGGCCTTTATCTTCGCTGCCAATGTTGAGAATAGAGAGAAAGAGGGAAGGGAAGAGGGGCGGCGGACAGGAGGGAGGACCGGGTGTGTGTGTTCCCGTCTGCGACTATAAAAGCCGTCCGCTGGTAAACGGAACAATCCATCAAAGCCTTTTAGGGACTGGGTGTGGGCGGAGGCGGCGTTCAGCTGGATCTGTGACTGTGTTTAAATGATGAGAGAGTTTTTACTGTAATTGTAAATGAAAGTGTTGCGGCGACTTTCTGAGACGATTCGTGCTGTTCGGGGAGTTCAATCTCGTTTTTTAAAAATATATGTCACACCTAAAAAATCACACGAGGAAGTGTTTCCAGGAAGTTAAAGTTGTGGAAGCCGCATCTTTAACTCCAGTGAAGCTTTTCTCTTTTTAAAAATATATATGTAAATAATTAGATTCCAGTCAAATAAGCCTGGTGACTCATAGGAGGACTAGAAATTCACACCAGATTTGTTTGGTCCAGACCTGCTTTCATTTAATTAAATGGCTCAAGTTAGCCAAATTCCATCATTATTAATGGATTTTTTATTTTTTTTCTTCCCCCAGTAGGGGTAATAGATTTGTTTCTTTTAACAACCGATTCCGTCACCCTCTCCGCTCAGCCTGTGTCATTTTAAGGAAAAAAAAAAAAGCGTCCCTGTCTTACCAGATGTGGAAAAGGTTCACATTAATACATGCAAGGAGGATGGAGGGAGAGAGAAGAGGAAGGGATGGGGATGATAGGAAAAAGGTAGGTCAGGAATGAAAGAGGGCAGAGGGAGGAGGGCACATTAATCAGAATAAAACCGGAGAAGAAGCATACGAGTGGTGGCGAGTCGAGAGTGAAGCGGGGAGAACAAAGCCATCTGGGACACAAACAAGTCCTGACACCGACGCTGCTCATTTAACAACGGGTGATTTAAAGTTTTCTTTCTTTCTTTCTTTCCCCTGTAATAAACCTGGTGTTGGCCGGAGTCTGATCAGGTACAGATGATAGCAGGCAGCGTGGATTTACAACCAGATCTTCCACAGAAATAAAGATGTCACACTTTGACAGCTGACCTGCTGGGACCCTAAAACTATGACTGGGAACGTTTCATTGTTCTGAGTGTGTGTGTGACAGACAGAACAGAGTCCAACCTGGACCCGATCAGGGCCCGAGAGTATCTGCTTTAAGTCAAGTCACAGTCCTCCCTCCCTTGTTGTTGACTGTCTGCGTTTTAATAAATCTGAAATTAATTTGATCTCCGAGACGTTTTGCTGTAATCTGACGAACACGATGTCGCCTCTGTTGCAGGTAAACCCGTCATGATCGTCACAGAGTACATGGAGAACGGATCGCTGGACAGCTTCTTACGAGTAAGTAATAAAAGAAACGCAAACTTTTAAAACACTGAATGAATTATGCTGCATGTGGAGAAACAACCGCTGCTTGTAAAAACACCGAGTAGCAACAGGTGTTAGAAGTATTTAAAAGAATGTTTTCCAAATGGGAATAAAATATCTGTGCTGATTAATCCACACTGAAACGCTGTCTTCTGCAGATTATTGTCAAAATTTAAACACTAGTTTTAATCGAGGTGTCTTTCTCGCAGCAAAGATATATTATTTGGTGTATTTTTAAAATGTTCAGTGTCGCAAAAATGTGTTTTCACATCGACACACATTAAAGAGATCCGTCCAGTTATTGAAAAAACTGTTTTTTTTTAAGTATTACTACAAGCTTAAGTGTTATTATTATGATTGTAATGTAAGAACCCACTCAGGACCGCTGGAAAATGTGGTCACTTTATAAAAGAAAGAGGTTTTAACGCTGCCTTCTGGTTTCCAATAAGTGCTGTACCTGAGACTGGTTGAGTTTCAGCTGTTCTCTCCAAACAACTTATCGAATGACAAGCGTTTTTTAAACGTATACCTACCCCTCGTCCAGCCAGGAGTGAATTTCATTCTCGCCAGCCTTCGTCTCTTAAAGAGGAATTGACCTGCCTCACTGAAATTAGCCAAAGCACAGCAGCCAAACCGCGACGCTGGCACGACAGGCTGATGCTGGTTTTAGTCCTTTTCCACATGTCTGCATCCAGACACGTCCAGGGCGGTTAGCGGCCGTTTCCTGACGTTTTTCTCAGAGGCCTGCACTTCGTCACTGAGAAACACAGCGAGTGGACAAATACACACACGACACATGCAGCTTCGTAGCTTTACATCGGAGCTGACGCTGTGTTCTCAATCCGCGAAGCTTTGAAGTGACTAAACAGGTGGTCTGGCCGCTAATTGCTCCAGACGAGACGGGAGGTGAGGTGGGCCTTGTTGGGTTTCAAAGGAAAACATCTCACAAACAGAGGAAGCTCCTGCATGTGAGCAGCAGCAGCAGATATAAAGGCCGCAGACGAGCTAAATGGAGCTCAGTGCAAACCCGGAGCAAACAGTGCCACCGATACAACAGATAAATAGACACACTCGGGCATGTTGTGCTGAGCATTGTCAGCTTTCTGCTCATATTTTATGATCTCAGGCTGTTGCTCTCCTCGTGCCTCCACTGTTTATGTGTCTTCCCCGTTCAGATATCAGCGACAGATCGCAGAACATATAGACTTGCTCATAAACACTTGCCAGTGTAAATCAGTGTAAACACTCGGGCTTGCCAGTGCAAACAGCAAAAAGAGAACAAGTGCTTTGTGTTTATATTTCACCCGCCGTGTGTTTGAATACCGCGTCTCGCCGCTCTGTAAACGTTCTGCTATAAAAATCTATCAGATAATCCAAATGAGATCTTTAGGATTTGCATTATAAACAGAGTTCTCGACGGTTTGATACGGCGCCATGGAAACGCGATACATCAGGCGTTCTGACCCGATGTGGCTTCCTGAAGATCAGCACCTGTACGCGTTTTAATTCAGTGTGTTAAACCTTTGAATTTAAACGTTTTAATAAATGCATCTGTGCTTGAGATCTTATTCTAAGCCTTGAATAAATATAGATATATGCTTCCCAGAAGAGAAGCAGCCTTGAAATTCAGACTCTGAGACTAAAACTTAAAGTACCAGATATGTTTATTGTCAGAATCCAGACAAACCAGTATAGAAATCCAGTCAACTCACAGTAAATGAGCCGCACATATTTTTTCACTGGTCATCGGATTTTATCGCTCTGCAGTAAATAACAAATAAAATAGCTTCATGAACATAATATACACAGTGGACGATAACAACAGCAGCGATATATTAAAAAAAGAGATTCACTGTTATCCTGGCTTGATGGTAATTTCCATATATTACCGTGTCTCTGGCTTTGGGATTTCACAGTTGAGATGAAGATGAGGTGCAAGAATGTCAAAGGTGCTTTTTAAAGGTTAATGAAAATGCTGTGGATACTAATGTAGAGAGGTTTCGTTTTATGCAAATAGCCACAAAGGTCAGACTCCCTCTTTGTTCTATATAATGTACATTAAAAGTGCGGCGTTACCAGAGCGTGCCGTCATCGCTTTGCTTTCATCTGTTCTGTCTTTCCTCCAGAAGCATGACGCCCAGTTCACGGGAATCCAGCTGGTGGGAATGCTGCGCGGCATCGCCTCGGGCATGAAGTATCTGTCAGACATGGGCTACGTTCACCGGGACCTGGCGGCCCGAAACATCCTGGTCAACAGCAATCTGGTGTGTAAAGTGTCAGACTTCGGCCTGTCCCGAGTCCTGGAGGACGACCCGGAGGCTGCTTACACGACCAGGGTGAGCCGGAACGCAAACACAAATTAAGGACATCAACGACGACATGAATAAATATGTTGGGCCGGGTCCTGGGGCGCGCCGGGCTTTTTCTGGAACGCATTAGGATGCAGTTTTATGTAGAACTCCCCGACCGCAACAGTGGAATGGTACTAAACACGCTACTGTTCCTTCTACTGTCGCCCTGAAGCTGGGTTTCAGTGTTTCTGGCTCCTCAGCAGAAATGGTTAGAAAATGAAACACTGATGTTCAGTTGGGCTGCACGGTGGATCGGTGGTTAGCATCGTTGCCTCGTAGCTAGAAGGTCGCCGGTTCACGTCCTGGTGAGGACACCCGGGATCTTTCTGCGTGGAGTCTACATGTTCTCCCCGTGCAGCGTGGGTTCTCTCCAGGTTCTCCGGCTTGTTGAGGTTAATTGGTGATTCTAAATTGTCCGTAGGTGTGAATGTGAGTGAGCTTGGTTGTCTGTCTCTAAGTGTAGCCCTGTGATAGACTGGTTACCTGTCCAGGTGAACCTGCCTCCACCCTGAGTCAGCTGGGATAGACTACAGCCCCCCATGACCCTAGTGAGGATTAAGTGGTGTATAGATGATGGATGGATGTTCAGCTGATTTGGCCTCATGCATACTTTCAAATGAACACAACACCTTCATCCTTTATCTCACGTAAGAAACAAGAATAACATAAATAAAGAGTTGTGATAAGGTAGCATCAGCTGGAAGGTCATGAAGAGAGCCAATCCAAGAAAAATACTTTGCATGTGGTTTGCTGCATCCACACAGACACTTTAATTAATGGTTTTGGATTCTTGATGGAACGTCTCAAAACATGGCACAAATGCTTCAAGAATCAGTAAAGTTTAGAGGCGTTTCGTAATTCAACAACAGAGACATTCGAGACACTTCCGTCGCATCTTGACCTCAACTTTTTTCAGCTTTTCAGGACTTTGCTGGACTGCGGAAAACCTCTCGGCGTGTGAACTCACCTTATAAAGCTGCTGAGGATAGTTCTCACAACAGCTTAAGTACAGCAGTCAGGCACAGAAAAATGAATAATATAAGAGAAATCTTAAAAGCAAAAAACCTCAAAGCTCGTCCCTCCGGTAGGGCGAGACTGTTTTTGTTTTTGAGTGTGAGCAGCGCTTGGAAGTAAACAGGTAGAAGTTTGAGAAGATTTGTGCTGAAAATATATTTTGAAAAATAAGCCTATTAGCATTTATATTTTTATATTATATATTTTATTTACAGTGGATTCTCAGGCCTGCCATGCTCCGGGGGACTCATCGGTACTTCTTGTAGTGTGTGTGGTCATTTTCATCATAGGGTCCTGTGGTCTGAACCGTGCGTGCAGCCCCTTTAAACAGAGTGTAATTTTCTTGCTGAGAATTGCTTGTCAAATAAACAGTCAGCGTGCCGTTTGCCTTTCTCCCAGAAATACATAATCTAAAATAATAAGGCGGAATAATAAACTCTGCCGTAATTGACGATGCATCGCACATGCTCCCACTGGAACCGTCTTTTTTTAACTTCTCTCGTCACTACTTTAAGAAAAAATCTTAACTTTTGGATCACATGTGGGTCTTGTAGATTTGTGTTTATGTTTTGTTTCCATGTACACCTCTGTTCATTTATTTGTGTCGCTGTAGCGCTGCCTAATACGTTCCCCAGCGTTCCCTTTGGCGTCCGAATGTGATTTTTTTAAAGGCCAGCGTGTGACTGCGCAGCACCAGACGAGAGCACAGCGACTTGGCTAGCGTCTCTGTTAGCGTTGGCTACCCTCGGCCTCCTTTCCTCAGCTCCGTTTTCCTCGTCTGTCTGAACGTTACCAATATTTATGTGTCAGTTATTATCAGAATGCGTGTACTCGCCAGTTTGGGGAAAGCAAATTAATCAAAGTCAGTCAAAAAATAATCAAAGCCAAGAAATGGCTCCGCATGACTCACAATGCGAAGAGTGTTTTCACTTCAGCTCCTTCACACCAGCACTGGAAATAATAAGAATCATCATCATCATCATGGTCCTTATCATCATCATCATCCTTTAGCTGTGACAGGTTTGTGTCTGTGGCTGGGATCTCTGTACTTTGGCCTGAGCCCATTTGGACTTAAGAGTTTCGGAACAGCTCATAAAATTCTCCTGCGCGGGACATAAACCTGTGACTCAGATCCAGACAGCTTTTACATTTAATTTTGTTGGAGAACACACCCAGAACTAGATGTATATCCACCCAGCAGTGTGATACCGTTTGTCTCATATCTATGAGTTCATCCACTGAGCCGAACTCAGCCAAAGTCAACAGTAACGTCAGGGTAGCGAGGTAGTCGTAGGTTTACTGAATGACAGGTTGACTAAGGCAATAAGAAACTCCAGACTGAATTAATCTTTCTCTTTTCTGTGTCTCAGGGAGGTAAGATCCCCATCCGGTGGACAGCTCCAGAGGCCATCGCCTACAGGAAGTTTACATCAGCCAGCGATGCTTGGAGTTACGGCATCGTGCTCTGGGAGGTGATGTCCTACGGAGAGCGGCCGTACTGGGAGATGTCCAATCAGGATGTGAGTGCTGCCGATCTGCTGAGTTAGCTTTCTTTAGTGGAGGGGGTTGGTGGGATTACAGCTCTGCATATTTACAAGTCTTGTTTGGTAGAAGTAAGTGGAGGCATCAGCAGCTCTTTCTGGTTTAAGATCTTTGGTTCGTGTTCAGGAGGGAAACCCAGAAAACGGGGTTTCAATGCAACACCTGTTTTCTAATATGTTTTAAATCACAATATATTGTCTTCCCTATGTATTTTATTGCTTTATTGTGGCTCCTTGTCAGCCAACCAATCATATGCTAGATGGCGCCGTACTCGTCGCCCTGGTAACCTATAAAATGGAAGGAAAGCTTCAAACATGCACTGAAAGGGTTTTATTTTAACACAAGAAGATCTTTCTCTAAACCAAAACTTATGAAAGCTTCTGACATGTGCTTATTGTGGACTTTCTGGTTCTTTTTTACCTGGATGCTTCACCTACAGTGTCATAAGTGAAAAAATATGTGTCTCTAAAAATAGAAATGACTTTAGACCAAAAAAAAAAATTAGAAACATCTCATGTCCATTTTTCTGAAAAGTCTACTTGATAAACATCCGTTTATTGGTTACACTGAAGGCTCTGGACAAACCTCCTCATCGTAATCTTTCTAATCTTGTCTGCCCCGACATGCAGGTAATAAAAGCCGTAGACGAGGGCTACCGTCTGCCCCCGCCCATGGACTGCCCCGCCACCCTCTACCAGTTGATGCTGGACTGCTGGCAGAAAGAGAGGAACAACCGGCCCAAGTTTGAACAGATAGTCAGCATCCTGGATAAACTCATCCGCAACCCCGGTAGCCTCAAAATCACGGCCAACACCACGTCCAGGTATGGGGCAGATGTTGTTTGTTTTTCCCTTTTCATGTGACTGTTAGTCTGCAGTTCTAGTCTATGCAGAACTACTTCTTCTAAACATGACTGAGTGTGTGTGTGAGTGACTTATGCATCTATAAATGGAGTTGTTTTGATTCCAGAAGGATTTTAGTGTTTCCTGAGCTGCTTTTTGTGTTCTTTGGTTCCCGTCCATGTGATTAACGGATACCACAGCGGCGTGGGTTGTTGCAGGTCGTAGCGAGTTCTGCTCCGTCGTCACGAGACGTCGTCGAGGCATCGATGCGGTTGCCGTTTAATTTTCCGTGAATGTTGCACCATTCGACGTAATTAATTTAATGGACAATAAAAATGATGAAGGGACACATTTGGGGGGGAAAGAGGCAGATTTTTGTGGTGGATTTATTTTTCTTTCACCCTTGGGGCATCCCTGTTTCGTTGCAGTGCCGGAGCTTAACATAAACACTGCTGTAATACTTCCTGTGTTTGTGGGCTGTTACATGAAACTTTGCCCTCTTACAAGAACCTTCAGTTTATGTTTTTCCTCTTTCTCATGCAGTCTAACATCATATTTCTGCCAGTGTCTTCTCTCTCTCTGGCTTTCTTGTTACCCTCCCTATTGCCTCTCTCCTTCGTTGGGACCACCGTTCTCTCTCGGGGGGCTGCAGGGAAGCAGAGTGGCCCGTGTACAGTTGTCGGTTCTGGGCAGGGAGCGTTTCAGGCGTCGGGTCTGCAGCAGACAGCCGCGGTATTATGGAGACGTCAAAGCTCATAACATTGACTAATGATTTCTTAAGAAAGTGAAAATAGGTCCCTTGGAGTTTGCATGTAATTTTCCTGATTGGCTTTTAACACTGGGTGAGCACAGGCTGGCCGACGGAGGCTGGTGTGGTGATTTATGAGAGCTGTGTGTGTGTGTGTGTGTGTGTGT